ACTGAGCCACAGGTGCTGCCCCCACGTCCCGCTATTTTTTTTTGTTGCAGTTGTCATTGTTGTTTTAGCTGGGCAGGGCTGGGTTCGAACCCGCCTGCCTCAGTGTATGTGGCCAGTACCCTAACCACTGAACTACAGGAGCCAAACCCTAGGTAGGCTTTCTGTCCTAAGGTTTGAGCCCCCACTCAGCCTGGGCTGGGTGCTTGGGGCAGCCCTGACCCCCTTACCAGGCTCTCCTGTAGGCTGTCAGATGCTGACTCTCCCTTCTCCCCTTTGGGGCCATCGGCACCCTGCAGGACAAGATGGTCCATGAGCCCTTTCTGTCCAATACCAAAGTCACACCCATGGCTCTCAGCCACTTCCCTTCCCTTCCCCATACAAGTTCTATGCAACAGTGATAAACTGGACTTGACACCTGAAAAAATTTGGCCTTGAACCAGTGTAACACGCCCCAGTGGTGAGCACAGTGGATCAATACCCACTGCTTTCCCGTGGTGCAGGGATGGACTAGGGGTTCTGAAGCAAAGACCCTACTTCACACCTGAGCACACCTCTCAAAGAGTAATCCTCAGGGAGTGACAGTGGTTTGAACATGGTGAATCAGAAATGGCTGCAGGACACCTGGTAGCTCTTCCAGTTTGGCCGTAAGAGCAACAATAAAAATGACAACAGTGGGTATCTACTGAGTGCCAGCAACCACGGTCACCCTGTCCATATGTTCCCTCCTGGGAGTGGAAAGTTATCATTCCTCCTAGAGGTGAGGAAACCCTACCAAGGAGTCCAGACTCAGGGTGGGCCGGGTGCAAACCTGGGCAGCTTAGGGCAGAGCACCTGGTATAACCAACCATCCTGCCAACTCACACCTGCCAGGCTGCGCCTTCCATTTCATCTTTAGGGAGGCCTCTTGAGGTAGGGGAAAGTCCTTTTACAAATGAGGACTGGAAGCTCAGAGAGAGTCAGGGAAGCTTGGCTAGGAGCCCAGAGTGGCCCCAGGCTGGGTGCTGAGGCCACAGGGCCTATGCCCAGGCATGTCCAGCTTTTATATGAACCTCCTTGTTTCCTCATCGCCCCAGCAGCTGCCCATTGTGGGTGCACATTCACCTTGAGACTGCCACATGGGCCACATAAAGTGTGGCCCAGCCCAGACACATACCGGGAGGCCAGACAAGCCCATCTCGCCTGCTTCCCCTTTGAGTCCAACTGGCCCAGGTTCTCCTGGGTCTCCTTTTGGTCCTCGGGCACCCTGAAAACCATAAGAACAAGGGATCAGTGGGGCTCAGCAGGCATCTTCTCTACCCCACACTGGCAGATCATGAGAGCTTATTCTAGGCTAGACTCCTACTTCCTCTTTGTGGGTCCCTACCTCCAGCTCACGTGGTCTGAGAGCCTCAGTAGAATGGGGGGTGGCCGGCTGGAGATAGGGAGGGGACACCCCACTCCTGTCTCATTACATGCTGAGGTTCAAGCAGTTGAGGTGGGGATGTACAGGGCAGGGCACGTAGGCCTGGAGCTGCCACCTTGGGGGTGCTTGTGGGGTCAACTCTGTGCTCATAACTCAGGAGCCTTAGGGGGGGATCTCCTGACCCCACAGACCCTTCCAACCACTGCATTTCTATGCAACCACTCATGTAGTGTTCAAGATGTGCCGCATACTGGGAGCTTGGGAAGCACATGCCCTAGAATAGGAAATGACCAACCCCCTAGCATACTCTCATATCTGAATAGGAGTATACACCATGCACACACATATACAGTTACCATAACACAACAGTGGCAGTGATTCTGTCATCTGGCATATGTGAATTCTTTGCTACCCCAGGTCAGGCACCATCCTGAGTGTATTACATGCACATTTAGCCTCATAACAGCCCTGGCGCCTTGCACTTGCCTAAGAGTGAGCAATTTGCCTGAGGCTGGAGGGCAGCCAGCAGCTGTACCCGGCAGCCTGGCTCCAGATGCCATGCTTTATGTCACTATATCTTGTTGCCTCTCTCACACACTGATGCACATCCATGCACATGCGCGCGCGCACACACACACACACACACACACGGCCCAACACCGGGCACCAAGGAAATGAAGGGCCCAGAGACCTTCTCTCCATCGATTCCTGGGGCACCAGGCAGTCCAAGCTCGCCCTAGAAAGGAACAGATGGTGAGAGGGGCTATGTCTTCCAGAGAGTAGTTGGTGGTATGAGGACAGGGCCAGGCTACCTGAGCTGCACCACAACTGGGTGGGGTTCCTGCAGTTGGATCTCCAGGAAGGAGACCCTGGGTGCTGAGCACTGGGCCAGATGCCCACTACCCCTCTCTTTCCTCAGCCCCTGAAGGGCAGATTCAGCCTGTAGCTGTGATCTGCAGGCTGGTGGTACACTTAGGCTTGCAGGGTTAAGTAACTAGCTCTAGGCAACTGAGCCCAGGAGCAAGTCAGACCTGCCTGATTTCAAAGTCTTAGGCTCTTTCTACTGGGACAGATGGGCAGGCTGCAAACATTAGGCAATAGCCATAGAGTTGGCTATGGGGCTGATTATTCAGTTTAAACACATGAATGAGGTCCCCAGGGAAATCTCTCAGAGTAGATGGGGCCCAGGACAGAGGCACTGCAACTTGTTTCAGAAGGTGAAGAGGTCCTTCCACTGAGCCCCCCTGGAAGCCAGGTCAGAACCCCACAGGGCAGTGGAAGGGCACATGTAGAGAGAAGGAGGAATGGGGCCCTGGAAACAAGGCCCGGGGACCATGGAGTTCCATCTGCACTGACCTTGGCTCCAGGGATCCCTGGTGGCCCTGAGGGTCCCTGTGGCCCGGGAGGACCCTGTGTATGAAAGTTGAGCCAGTCAGTGTTAGGCAGGGCCTCCCCCACTGCCTACCCACACCCCCCACCGTGGGCCAAGTCCCTCCCCCACTGCCTTGTCCCCCACCCCATGGGCCAAGTTCTTGTCCAGCTGAGCTACAGCAGGGTTAAGGGATGTTGGAGCCCACTTTTCCCCCAGTTAGGTCAGGCCACACTGTACATGGCTGGATCTGGTCCCTAAGTCCTGGGGAAGGCCAGGAGGCAGACCCTGGCAATGGACAAGATACCCAAATGTCCACTGCCACAGAGGGCCTGAGTCCCTCTGGCTTCAGAGACAGTCTGCCCCAAATATAGATTTCTTCACAGCACTCTCTGCTCAAGATCCCACAATGGCTCCCTATTGCTTCTAGTTCCCTCTCAAAGCAAACTTAAATCCTCAGCTGGTGTTCAAGGCCAAGGCCAAAACTGCATCCCCAAGAGTGGCCTGGCACTGCCTTCTCTGTCTGTTCTGGGAGCTCTTGGACCATTTGGCCCTGTTTCCTACTATCTGCTGGTCCTGGAGACTTCCTCAGCCTCACAAGTAGGGCGTTGGGTCTTCAGCCTTTCTAAGTCTGCCTTGACTCCCAAGCTCCTGTCCTGACATGTCCTTCCCGCAGGCCCGTCCTGACAAGCTCTAGTCCTCCTGCCCCCCAGCCCTGAGGCTGCTCCCTTCTTGTTGGCATGTGCAACAATGTGGTCTTCTCTCATGTCCTTCACCCTACCCACCTTCCTCTGGGCCCAGGCCCAGAGCCTCCCTTCCCAGGATTACCAGCTCTCCCCTATACCTACTTTAGTTCACTTTCTACATCATTCCCCGGCCAGCTTCCCTCAGTATGTTTTTATTTTTTTAACATCATCCCTCTGCTCAAGAACTGACTATGGCTGCCCACTGCCCATAAAATCATCATCCCAGTCTGGCATCCAGAGTCCACCACCCAACTCCCTGTACCCGTGGGGCCTCTCCCACATGGCCTGCTGGCTGGGACACATCATGCACATGCACGCCCTGGGGATCCCATCATACCACACTACACACCAAGCAGGCCTGGGGTGGGCCACAGTTACCGTTATATTTCCCTGAGGCCTGTGGAAATAACTGGAATTGAAGCTCTGGTGGGGTCAGGTGCCAATGCCAAGTTTTGTCTCTGATGACCATCCCTCTCCTACTTCATGAGAACCTTCTGAGGTACAGTGAGCAGTTGGCACCTAACTTGTCTCTATGGGAGGTGGGTCCCAAGTTGGCCAGTGACTGGGAAGGGCTCAGAGGCCACATATCCCCTGAAGCTCCTGGTCCAGGCCTTACCACTCTCACCCTCCCTGACAGCACTCATTAGAAGACCTAGCCGTCCAGCCAGTGTTTCCTGGGAAGGTCCTAGGGGATAAGTCTGGGACTAGACACCAGGAAATGTTCTGCCTCTTGTCCTTGAGTGGAGGAGCTTCCCTTTTTGCCTTTGTCTCTAGGGAACTCAGGGCCACATAGGCACATTCACAGCAGATCTCTCAGCATCATGTGGGTTTCAGCACAGCATTAATTTCAATATCAGGCACCCAATGAAGTTTTTTTTTTTCCTGAGACAGGGTCTCACTATGTTGCCCAAGATGAACTTGGGCCTCAAGCAATCCCCCCGCCTTGGCCTTCCAAAGTGCTAGGATTATAGGCTTGAGCCACCACGCCTGGCCAACTTGAGGTCTTTTACGAAGCTACTCCTGGTCCCTTGAGTAAAGAAGTGCAGGATTAATACAAAAGTGAGCATTTATTCTCTAAGACAATGAACAGCTAGAGAGCTTCCTGGGAAACTACCTTGAGGGCATCCAAGATTCTGCCATCATAGTCAATCACCACTGTGTCTCCTTGTTCGCCCTTGAGGCCTGGGGAACCCTAAGGAAGAAGCGTGAGAATGTCAGGAAAGAGCCTATGGGTGCGTAAAGCAGTAGCTGTCTCTGCTTTTACCAGAGATGGGGTAAATGTTAGAGCTTTGTCACTAGGCCCACATCCATGCCCACTGTGTGCCAGAGGGTGGCAGAGGAGCGTGTCCTTGCCTGGTCTGAGGGTGGTCTTGATCTGTCTTCCTGCAGACATTCCAGCCTACCCCTGAGTTCTTTTTTTTTTTTTTTTTGAGACAGAGCCTCAAGCTGTCCCCCTGGGTAGAGTGCCATGGCATTACAGCTCACAGCAACCTCCAACTCCTGGGCTCAAGTGAGTCTCCTGCCTCCGCCTCCCAAGTAGCTGGGACCACAGGCGCCCGCCACAATGCCTGGCAATTTTTTGGTTGCAGCCGTCATTGTTGTTTGGCGGGTCCGGGCTGGGGATTTGAACCCGCCACCTTAGGTGTATGTGGCTGGCGCCTTAGCTGGTTGAGCTATAGGCGCCGAGCCTACCCCTGAGTTCTTAAGGTAAAGTGGATTTTGATGTGAAGTTCTTAGGATTTTTAAATGTTGACAAACAAAAACAAACCAGAAAATCCCAGGCTCTCCAAAACACTGTGTAAGCCAATAAAAGACATGTGAAGGGTAGGGCTGGCTTTAGTAGGGAATGTACTAACGTCCCATTCATTCCCAGTTACCAGTGCACGTCTGCGGTCACCCAGGCCCACACTCACATGTGCGTTCACATTTGGATGTACGTGTGTGCACACCCACACACACATCCACCCCTGCTGGCCTGGTCCTTCCCTTCTGAATCTCAGTTCTTCTCTCAGGCTGTTTGATTCCAGAACAGTGCAGGGTGGTGAGCATTTTGGTTTAGGCCTGGAACCAGCTCCTTACAAAGGGTGGAGAGACCCAGCCCTGGGGCTTATTTGCCATTTGGCTCAATGTGAAGGCTCCCATGCTCACTGCCTAATCCAGTCCCTTGACCACCTATACAGCCAGATCCATTTTTTGGAGGAGGAAGACAGCCTGGTGATAGAGCTGAGGATAAGATCCCAGATGTCAACATAAAGGTGTGATAATAGGTCTGGTCACAAAGGATCCAGGACTGGCTGGGGTGGCTGTGCTCCTGGTGGTAGGGATGAACTTCCATGTTGGACTGGGAAATTCCAGGATCAGCCCACTGTGGGCAGGGTCATGCCATGCGGCAAACCAAGGCTCTACCTTTGAATGTGCAATGGAAAGAGTTCAGAAAGGCATGCACTAACTTCTTATTTAGTAAGAAGTTGGGACTCTAATTTTTATACATTCATACTTGAGAATTTTATCAAATGTATGTATTATGAAATTTTAAAAAATCAGTAATAAATTAAAAAGAAATTTAAAAAGACTCTCAGTTGCTGTAGCACCAGTGCTTCTCTGGGGTCTCTGTGGAGGCAGGAGCTTTTTTTTTTTTTTAAGACAGAGCCTCTAGCTGTTACTCTGGGTAGAGTGCCATAGCATCACAGCTCACAGCAACCTCCAACTCCTGGGCTTAAGTGAGTCTCCTGCCTCTGCCTCCCAAGTAGCTGGGACTACAGGCACCCGCCACAACTCCCGGCTATTTTTTGGTTGCAGCCGTCATTGTTGTTTGGCAGGCCCGGGCTGAATTCAAACCTGCCAGCTCAGGTGTATGTGGCTGGCGCCTTAGCCACTTGAGCCACAGGCGCCGAGCTGAGGCAGGAGCTTTTGAAGCCACTGTGATTCTTGGAGTCCATCGGTGTGATCTGGCTGAGAGGCATCTGCTTACCCGGGGCCCTACTGCTCCCTCCTTTCCTTGGTGGCCGGGCTCTCCCTGTGGAGACACACAGGTGCAGCAGTGGTGCAGATATGAAGCCCAAGAATCCCCCCCCCCAACCTGCCTCTGGGTCCCCCTTCCCACCAGGCTGGAGCCTCAAGGCCTGATGTATGAGAGTGGCACTTAGGACCAGGGCCCTTCCCTGACCCTGCATTGTATACATGGTGACATTGAGGTCTGGGAGCTCACTCGCATGCACTGCCACCCACCCCCAGGCCAGCTTCTGACTGCAAATCCAAGGAGACTCCTGCCCCCAGGACCTCTAGGGATTCCTAACTTAAAAGGGCAAATTAGAGGTGAAACCACATTACCCCCTCCTGACTGGGTGATGATCTCAATGGGGCCTATAGGTGTGGGGCAGTGCACTCTAAAGTCACCTTTGGTCCTGGGGCACCATCCATGCCGTCCTCTCCTCGGGGCCCCACACTTCCTGCCTCACCCTGAAATAGGAACATTTGCTCTCAGAATGGGAGCAAGCAGGGGCTGTGGGGGCTGTTGGGGCCATGGGGCCTGGTGAATGGGCCTGAGCCCACCCAGGGGCAGGCATGGGCCCAGAGCCTCTCCCCAGCTCAGGGCACATGGGACCATAACCACCACTTGCTGGCCTGGATCTTGGCACAAGCTTGGGGCAGCTCAGGAGCTCTACAGACATTTTGGAGGACAGCTGGCTAGGATTTGACGGCTGTTGTGAGGGGTTAGGGGAGTGAGGCTTGAGGATGACCTGCAGTTTCTGCCTTGGGGAGAGGGGACAGAGTGGGGTACCCTGACATGAGAACCAAGAGGGCTTGAAGGGAGTGAAGGGAGGGAAATGGCCTAGATGAGATGCCAGGCCTGTTGTCAAGAAGGTCCAAGGCCCTGTTGCTGCCTCTCTCTGGTCCCTGAGTGTGAAGGGTCTAGGACAAGACACACCATGCAGATACAAACTGTGGGAGGTGGCAGGCAAGGGACTTTTAAGGAGGGCAGACACCCACCTTGGGCCCTGGGGGTCCAGGGAGCCCTGGCTGGCTTGGCATCCCGTCATCCCCCTGAGGAGAGAATAGTTGAGGCATGCTGGCCAGGTGCTCTGACTGTCAGTCAGCTCCTACCTCACCAGCCCCCTCTTGGCCCCAGCACTGGGTGGGGCAGTTCTCCGCCTCTCAAGGGCAGTGGTGGGGCCAGATCCATCTTTGTCCTCTGTCCCTACCAGTCCAGTACTAGCCCAGAGCAAGCCTCAGTAGACATTTGCAGAAAGAACGGAAGACCACTGGAATGAGTGAATTCATTCATTCATTTAACAAGTATTGTGTAAGCATCCCCTGCAGGCCAGGCAGATGAGATTCCTGCTCATTCAGAGTCAGGGGTGGCAGAGGGAGAAGAGATGCTCAAACCAAGAAAGGCACCACATCAAGGAGTAGAAAAGTGTTGGGAAGAGACTAGAGGAGGACAGTGTGTGACAGAGAGGGACTCAACGGGAAGATCACTCTTGTTCAGTGGTTCCCAAGCTTGAGCTCACAGCAGTGTCACCTAGGGACTGGTTAAATATCCTCAGAGTCTCTGATTCACTGGGTCTGCCTTAGCCCCAGAGTTTGCATTCCCAATAAGCCCCCAGGTGATGCTGATTCTGCTGATGCCAGGGCCACACTTTGAGAACCACTGTCCCACCCTGAAGTGGGCATGAATTTGCTGTGTTTGAGGAAGGGAAAGAATGAGTGGGCGAGATTTTGGCTCCACTGAAATCTAGGCCAGTGCAGCCACTCACTGTGAGAGGTCAGGTCTGGTGTGTGGGGTGTGCTTTCCCTGTTGGTAGCTCCCATCCCCACCCTGTCTGAGCCCCTGCCCTTCTCCTTAGCCTCCTCCTCTTCTGGGCCCCCTCACCTTCTTTCCAGGCACACCAGGCTCACCCTGAGTCGGAGGAAATTGGGGGTTCAAGAGAGAGAGATCAGAGTCACAGGAGTGTGGCCTGGACATAGGCCTCTTGTCCCTCTGGTTGAAGTGGCATCCATGGCCCATGCCCAGGGCCAGCCCAGAGACCCCTGGATCCCTCAGAGAGGTGCTAATGGGCAATAGATTGACACTCCTGAGCTGGTCACCCACAAGCTGAATGACCCTGGGCAAGTCATTGCTCTTGACTGTGGAGAGGTGGCTCCTTAGCCTCAGCAGGTGCACACTAAGGGAGTTCTTTTCCAGCCTCTCCTTCTTGGGCAGGTGGACCACAGCCTTCCTTTCTACCCAGGCACTGCCCAAGGTGGGGAGAAAAGAGAGGGGTAACATCTGGAGAGGGTGTTAAAAGCTGATGTGGTGGAAAATGTATGTCCACACAAAAAACATACACCTGGGTGTTGATAGCTTTTTCCATAACTGCCCAAACTTGGAAGCAACCGGGATGACATCAGTGGGTAAGTGGGTAAACACACTGTGGTCCATCTGGACAATGGAATGTTACTCAGCTCTAAAAAGAAATGAGCTATCTAGCCATGAAAGGATGTGGAGAAACGTAAATGTGTAATGCGAAGTGGAAGAAACCTGTCTGTAAAGGCTATGTCCAGTATGATTCCAAATGTACAACATTCTGGAAAAGGCAAAATGATAGAGACAGCAAAAGATCAGTGGTTGCCAAGGGGAAGGAAGGGAGGAATAGGTGAAGCATGGAGAATTATTGGGCAGTGAAGATACTTTATGATAGTATCTATCATACTAGTATCATGATAGTATCTATCATACAATGGTGGATACTTGTCCATATACATTTGTCCAGATTCCTAGGATGGGCAGTACCAGAGTGACCCTGAATGTAAACTGTGGACTTTGGGTGATGATGATGTGTCAGGGCAAGTTCATCAGCTGTAACAAATGCACCACTCTGGTGGGGGACAGACAGTGGGGGAGGCTATGAATGTGTGGGGACGAGGGTGATATGGGAAGTCCCTGAACTTTCCATTCAATTTTGGTGTGAATCAAAAATTGTTCTAGGCCAGGCAAGGTGACTCACACATGTAACCCCAGCACTTTGACAGGCCAAGGCAGGAGGAATGCTTGAGATCAGGAGTTGAACACCAGCCCGGGCAAAAGAGTGAGACCCTGACTGCACAAAGAATGTAAAAATTGGCTGGGTGTGGTGGTATGTACTGCTGGTCCCAGCTACTTGAGAAGCTGAGGCAGGAGGATCACTTGAGCTCAGGTTGTTCAAGGCTGCAGTGAGCTATGCACCACTGTACTCCAGCCTGTCTCCAAAAAACCAAAAAAACTGTTCTAAAAATAAAGTCTACTGAAAATCAAAAAGCTAATATATTTTTTTTATGTCTCAATCCTCACAATTTAGTGTGAAGAAGGCAGGAAAATTTTATCATGTCCCCATGTAATAGATGAGTAAACTGAGGTCCAGAGACATGCAGTAACCTGCCCACAGTCACAGAATTTGGTCTTCTGCCTCTACTGCTCTGGCTTCAAGGAGAAGGAAATGTTGGTGCAGGAGCCTGGCATGCAGGATGGGGGTCAGGGAGTGAAGTGAACTCACCTTGGGCCCTGGCGGTCCCTTGGGGCCCTGAAACAGGAGAAGGGAAGGTGTTAGATATCATGTTAGAGGCTGCCCTTGAGCCTGTCTTCCTCACACCAAGTCCCAGAGAGGAGGAGGCAGGGCTGTCACTAGGACCGGGACTGTGCCACCCACTCCAGGCCTGACTCTGCCTGCTTGGACATCTTCTGTGCTAGGGATCAGGTGGTGACAGGTGGACTGCAGGTCCAACACAGGGATGTGGGGCTAATGGGACTCTTCCCCAGACTGAGAACCTCGCCCCTCCAGAGGCAGGAGCATAGCTGTGCCCATGTGTATGGCCACCTGCACTCACACATGTGTGTGCACTCACATATGCCTCTCACATGCATGCAAGCATACACACACATGATTCTGGTGTTGATGTGTGTGGGAATGGGCTTCTGGGAACCATGGCCCTGTCTGCCCAGTACTCTGAAATGCTCTGGATACTGACCATCTCGCCGTCTTGTCCAGGCTCTCCTTTGGGGCCCTGAGAAGATAGCAATGAGGGGTGCAGAATGTCACATTTGACTGAACCCAAACTACATGCCAGACCCAGGCTGGGGCTCTGAGCATATTATCTCATCTCATCCTCATCAAACCCTAAGCACCAGGTGCCACCATCCCCACTCACAGTTGAGAAAGCCAGGCCGATGCTGCCACTTGTCCAGTGGGACAAAGATGTACCACCTGTTTGGTGGGGGTGCTTCTGGTGTAGGGGGAGGGTGATGGAGTGTGGTCTGACCTGCAGGGTTGGTTTAGGACACTGGAAGGCCCAGGGAGGGCCAGAGAGAGCAAGAGGGCTATTAAAGACCTGCAGAAAGAGTGCTGCGTGGGGCCTCAGGGTCTGGTCAGGTCAGAATGGGGACTGAAGTGGCAACCAAGGTCAAGGTTAGGTCTCTGTTCTATTGGGGGTTAGAATTGGTCATAGCCTGGAGGAGTAATGGTTAGGGTTTGGTTAATTATCTGAATTGGGGGTATGAGTCAGGATTCGAGAATGAGTTTGGAGTTAAGATCTTGATTGGGATTAGGGACTGTGTTAGTGTTAGATTTGAGGTCTGACTGGGGCAAGAGTCTGGGCTGGCGCTAGTGATAGGTTTAAATCTGGGTCAGCGACAGGATCAGAACTGGGGTTCAGCCTGGGTCTGGGGCTGGGTTGGAGTTGAGGCTGGGTCCAGGTTCAGTGTCTGGATGAGGGTTAATGTTGTGTTGGGTCTGCACTAGGGATGGGGCTACAAGTGGGGTTGGTTCTAGGATCAAGCTTTGGGGTTTTCGTCAACATAGGACCGGTCCTGGGTGGGCCAGTTCCATAGCCCTTCTTACCGCTGGGCCTTGTGTTCCCTTGGGGCCATCCTTCCCAGTGTCTCCAGGAGGGCCCCGGGCTCCAGGAGGTCCAGGGGGCCCTGGAGGTCCAGCAGCTCCATCTTGCCCTTGGTCTCCCTGAGAAGGATGAGGCTTGGCATGACTCTGAGGGTGACGAAGGGTTTCTAGCCTACAGAGAGGCTCCCTCAGCTGGGCAGCCCCTGTGACTGTCCCTTTCTAAGCTCAGGGCTCGGCTCTAAGGGAAGAACTTTGTTATTGGGCCTCTTGCCACTTCTTAGTGGCTGCATGAAGGGACAGGTCTCTGTACCTTGTTGTGAGAGGCCCAACAAGATCTTTCACATTCCAAGGAATGTGCCAACTCTCCAGAGCCTAAAGCCCAGATCTGGTGTTTAGGTGAGTGCTGGCACATGCCGGGTGTGGGAGGAAGCACATGTCCCCACCCAAGCCCCTGCTTTCCAGAAAGGTGACTGACTGAGTGTCTCCTGAAAGACTTTCTTGGTTGGTCAACTCTGGTTTCAGTAAAAGTGATGGAAATGCACTCTTGGGCATTTATCCCAGAGTAATGACAACTTAGGTTCATGCAAAAACCTAGCATGTTCACAGCACCTTATTAGTAACAACTCTGCACTGGAAACCATCCTTCAGGAGGTAAATGGTTAATCAGCTGTGGCACATCCAGATCATAGAACATTATTCAGCAATAAATGCAAAAGGAACAAGCCACTGACACAGGTGACAACTCAGATGCATTTCAGGGGAATCATGCTGAGCGAAAAAAGCCTATCTCAAAAGATTAGTGCTGTATGATTGCATCTAATAACACCCTTGAAATGGCAAAATTATAGAGATGAAGAACAAAATAGTTGCCAGGAGTTTGGAATAAGGGAGATGATTTTAGATCTTCATGTGGTGGTTACACAAATCTACAAATATGATAAAATTGCATAAAACTAAACACATACACATACTCATTTACATACAAATGAGTGTATGTAAAACTGGGAATCTTAATGAGGTTGGTGGATTTTATCAATGTCACTTCCTCGTTGTGAGATTGAACTATATGATGCAAGATGCCATTATTGGGGGAAGCTGGATGAAGGGTATATGGGGCATTACATATCACCAGTGTGTGTAAATCTACAATTATCTCAAAATTAAAAAAAAAAAAAGGTGGGTGGCACCTGTGGCTCAAAGGAGTAGGG